TTCACTTTCTGATTTCTGAAACATCTGGGTTTCACGTTCAGCAGCTTGTTTATTTTTGCACAAGCCCAAGAAGGAATCGGAAGCCCGAGGCCGTAGTGGAGCCATCAGCCCACAGAGCGGAGGCTCGAACAAGTGGCGCGAGATCGATGCGGCTGCTGTTCTTAGAAGGACTCTTCCATTCCTAGAAGTTTTCATCCTTTTACCAGGCACTTTATTTCCTCCTGCCTCTCCTCCCTTACATAAGTTTTGCTGCTCTGTGAATGGTTTTTCTTGTGGATTTCGGTTTCCTGCTCGAAATCAGGATTCTCCCGTCTCCTCCGTGTAAACAAACTGGTTTTTTTTTTTTTTGTGAATGGCTGAAAAAAGAAAATAAAAATCTGTTCCACTTCATATTCTAAATCAGAGTTATGGAACAACATGTATTAGAGTCCTTGTTGTGGATACGGTAAGGGATTATCTTTTTTTAATGACAGTTATAAAGCTACACAGAATTGTTTTGGAATTGGTCTGATAAATGGGGAAATATTTTGTTGCAGCTTAATTACGGAGAACAGGAGCTTATGGTTTACCCGTGTTTAAATATGTACATGAATCTTTTCAAAGTAATAGGGCAAATATAGTACTGTTTCTGGAGGCTTAAAAAGAAGATTTGTTCTCTTATATTAAATTTTTAATGTATTATTCATGAGGAAAGCCATGCTGAAAGCTTTTTTTTCTCCCCTCAGTGGAAATGAGCTTGAAGAATACATTATCTGTACAGAAAAGAAGAGCGTAAAGGCCTCTAACTCTTGCTAATGCTGGAGTGGTGCATTGCAAGTACTGTTGGAATTTCCTCAGGGAAAAGAAAACAGAATTTGGTTGAAAATAAGCTGATAGAATCATTGAATAATTCGTACAACATTACTGGAATTCAATTCCTTAAAAAAAAAAAAAATAAAAAATAGGGTAATTCCAGTTAGAATGTGCTTTTTAGAATGACTGTTTATTGAAGTTGCTTTAAACTCCATGTTTAACAATTATTACCTCTCTGGTTTGGATACAGGGCTGGAAAGCACATTTTTGTTACTTGTACCACTGTCAGGCTGGCTTTTCCAGACATGGGCACTTGCACCCCAGGTGTTCGTGCAGATCTGTGTGCACTGTTGGCTTACTAAGGCAGGCAAAATGTGTGTGAGCTTTGGAAGTTGGAGGAACCTTTAAAACTATTTAGCATTATGTAATACAATCCATCTTTTCAGTGTGGAATATCTTATACCTGGTACGAACTGATGTTTGTAATTACGTTTTTTGCTGTGTTATCACTGTAAACAAGAAATAGAAACCAAGTGACATCATTTTTAGTGATCTTTTTCCTTGGTGCTTTCCCATTCCTAGATCATGCTTGGTTTAGTTGCCTGAAATGACTCAAGGGTGAAAAAAAATAGCAGGTTGCATGTTTAGACAAGAGCTCTCCAGGTATGTTTTTCCATTGCCTGTTACTAGAACTTTATGCAACAATTAGTTCATTAATTGGAAAAATATCTGGAATTAGTAATGTCCAAACACCACAAGCATAACTTAAATTGATACTTAAATGCCAAGACCTCACCAATCAGGATTTCCTAGATATGGTTAATGTCATTTCTAGACACTGGATAAACCAGGAATTTTTGCTACCTGTGATAAGGGAATAAAGTTAGGATTTAACAAGCTAAAATACTCCTCTAGAACTCATCATTAAATTATATGAGCACCTCTCAATTTTTAATATATATTAAGCCCCAAGCTCCTAGTGAAAGGCTGTGTGCCTTACTTCAAAATAAAAACAAAGAAAGAAATGTTCTGCAGATGTTTTCTATCCTGGGTTTAAGAAGTTGTTCTTGAAGACAAGGAACCGTGGCACAAAATATAAGAAACAGCTTATCAAAAAAAAAAAAAAAAAAGGAGATTTGGAATGGAGCAGAAAAGTGGGTCTAGTTCTCCTTAGACTTGAACTGGTTGTTCTCATGGGTGGGGTTGACCTTTCCATGTGTGCTTTGCAGTGCTTACATCCCACTAAGAAGCACAATGCAGTGTTGTCTTCTGTCACTTGATCCAGAGTTTGGGAAGCCTCAGTCCCGTGTCCCCAGCTGTCACTCGGAGCAGTTAGAACCTTCTGGCGCTAGCTGGATTTTTGTATTCCTTCCTTTTGATGGGAGCATCCAAAACTTGTGGTTCCCAGAGAAACTGCATGTTTCTTCCATGTTCACTTCCAGCCACGATCGTTAATATTTACTGTGAAATTGCCACTGGCATAAAGGACCGACTGATCCAGGGGTTTGCATCGTGATCAGAACGTCTCAGATTGGTAGAACTCGCAGTTCTTTCATGTTATTTATCAGTATACTTACCTTTGGGATTGAAGACAAGGCATAAATGGTGGTGGGAAATTCAAAACCTGTGGCCAGAGAGCAGGTACAAACATTGCAGGAGTGTTGTAACCACCTCGTGTTGCGTGCGGGTGAAGCGTGTTTCAACGTGTTTTGGAAACTGTGCTCATCCTTCACTTAAAGGAAGGGGTGAAACAACCTCTTGTGTGCACCAGCTGATTGAATTTTCTCCAGTGAGAAAGAAAAACCCCAAGTTTTGTGGATACTGTGCGGCCAAGGCATCCTCTGTATGAGAAAACTTTCCACTTTCACCTCTGGGCGAAAGGAAGAAGGAAGAGTGTCAGGAAAAAAAAACACAAAAAAAACCTGCTGTAAAAGCCCATCCAAAAAGCTTTGCCCTGTTTATTTAAGCTCTTTCCCTTGGGAATTGTGCTGTGGTCTTTCAGCTGCTACACAGAGTATTTTGGACAGATAATCTTCCATGAAACGTTCAGTCATCAGAATTTTCTGTACAGTGGCATTTTTCTTGCAGCGTATCATGGATGACAACTCACAGGATTCCCCGAGAATCCTGAGAGCTAGGAGTAGGCCTGGGAGGTGCAGGAAGCTGTGTTTGGTGACCAGTGTTCCCAGTTCAGGCCTTGTTAAGGAGTCTCACCCTATTCCTGCGTTTTGTTTTTCTTAGGAACAGCATTTTCCATCTGTATTTTGGATATGCAGATTAGTGGTGTGGGGCGGTTAGGAAATAGCAGCGTTGGGTAGAGGAGCAGAAGGATTAAATGAAGGGGTTGCTTTGCAGCATTTTTAGGATAAGCAACTTCGCTGGATTGTTTCTGGTCTTGGCCAACTCCACGGACTTACAGGAAAGACTAAAGTGGCGCTGTGGGGGATGGTGATCTTTCCCCTAACTGTAAATGTTTGCAGTAAAAACAGCTGAGCTGTTCATCAGGAGTTCCCAGTGGAGAGGAGGAAAAAAAAAAAAATTGGCATTTTTAGGGTGGGTTCTAGTGTGAGCAAATCAAATGAGTTGTGCCCTACAAGTGCTTATCAGCTTGGCTGTGTGAGCACTGCTGTGGTCAGCTGGGCCGAGGGCCGAGCTGCCGAGGAGGTTAAGGAGAATATCCACAGAAACTACTTTGGAGCTATAATGATGTAATTAGAAATAAAAAAAAATAAGAGTTTTGTCCAGTGTTGAGACCCGTTACCACCCAGAGACTTCCTGCCCACCAGCTGGCTGGGTGTTGGCAGGAGGTTTTTGGCAGTGCACTTCTTAAACACGGTGGACCTTACTTTGTTTATTTTGTAGGGCTGGAATTCCTTGCTGGTGTGGGGACTGTGGGAGGGGACCAGTGCCTTTGTTTATGCTCATGTGTCATTGGATTAGAGTTCTTCAGCAGAAAGGAGCATGTCTCTGTAGTGTTGTAAGAGTTAGATCCAGAACTTTACTCTTGATCTTTGTTAAATTTTGTTCTTGGAAAATCCTCTTTGGTCATTGGATTTCAGAGAATCATGGAATGGTTTGGGTTGGGACCTTAAAGATCATCTCATTCCAACCCCCCTGCCATGGGCAGGGACACCCTCAACTGGACCAGGTTGCTCCAAGCCCCATCCAGCCTGGCCTTGGACACTCCCAGGGATGTGGCACTGTGGAAGTATTGCCCAGCTTCTCTGGGCAGCCTGTTCCTGCAGTGTGTCTCTTGGGATGTTTTCCTCTGCTCCCAAGAAAAATAAGATCTCCTAAGACAGGCGCTAATGAAGCCAATAATGCAGCTATTTGTCCTCATTTTGGTTATGGAGGAGCAGGAGGGGTGCCAGGTATTTATCTTGCTTTGCAGCAGGCGTGCCAGCGCATACAGAGCTTTCCTGCAGGAGCTCTGGGCAGCTTTGGGAGATCAATTCAAATGCAGAGTCTGTTTAGATTTTAGTAATTCACTGAATGTGCTGGGGCTGGGCAGAAGGAGCCAAATGGGCAGGGAGAGGCTCTGCCCAAACCGATAGCGCTCAGCCAAAAGCTTTTAAAATCGCTTGTGCCGTGTAGTGCAGGACACAATACTTATTATTCCGGGCCAAAAGGGGTTTTTGAAAGCTATCAGGGGTAAACAACACGCCCAGCTGTGCAGGTGTGACTGTGCCAGGCGCCGCTTTGCTCAGCGCAGGTTTGCTGCTCGCAGCTGGGGGTCCACAGAGGGGTTTCGGTTAGAATTTGTTGTTGCTGTGCCCTTCTTCCCTTCAGTTTGGGTTACTGGGGGGGTGGTTGTGTGAACACCTGCTGGCAGAGTCGGTGCAGCCGCCTGAACTGGAGATGGGCAGAGGCTGAGTGGGTGACAGCAGCTCAGGGAGGGTGAAGTGGCTGAGGAGGAGCAATGCTGGTTCTTACGGGCTCCATTAAGCTGAGAGCTTGTTATCCGTGTGAGGGGAGAAGGGGCACATCCTCAAGATGGCTTTTTAAGTGCTTGGGTAGGTACAAACTTATATTAATATGAGTTCACATTTGTGGGTCCTTATGCCTGGGATTTCCCATCTAAGCCTGAGTGCAGTAAATGTGCTGGATCCATCATGTGGTCCGGGCTCCTCTGTGAGCTCATCAGCTGCTTCTCTCCCTCTGCTTTTACAAGTGCTGGTAACGAGAGAAGGCTCCTACTTACCGAAGAGATTAAGAGTAAATGCTCTGGAAGACCTGGTTTTCTTTAGTTCTGAGAACAACAGCACTGTAAGATCTCATGCCACATCCCTGGAAGTGTTCAAGGCCAGGTTGGACAGGGCTTGGAGCAACCTGGGCTAGTGGAAGGTGTGCCAGCCCATGGCAGGGGGTTGGAATGAGATGATCCTTAAGGTGTCTTCCAGCCCAAGCCATCCTACGATTCCACAATCTAATGTAAATGGTGGAATTCTGGCTCTTCTATCCCAAAAAGGATACAAAGCAGTGGGGATGGTATTGCGTCATGGCACACTAAATACACTGCTCACCCCTGCCACTGCATCAGTGCTGAAGAAAAGAGCTTTATTGAGAGTTGTTTTGTTTTGGGGAGGAGGGGAGGGGACAGTGACCAGCTGATCTGAAATATTCTGCATAAACAGCTTTGGTAGGTATATAGGCTGAGAGAGGCTGGGACTTGGGCAAGATGCAAAATTAGAATGATTTCTGTTGCCTCATGCCTGGGTTCTCTCTTAAAATTAGCACAGAGGCACATTCCAAAGAAGCTGGGGAAGAGTTTTAATTTTGTTAATGGGCTCAGGTGCTATTTTTACTTTCTTTTAGACTACCTTTGGTAAGGACAATACATGGCCTTTGTGTGGGGATAACAGGAGTGGGAGTTGTAGAACGTATCCACATAATTACAAATACCATTTTTGCTCCAGTAAACAACAAAAAATTACTGTACTGTTTTTGTTTGTTTGTTTGTTTTTCTTGATACAATTAAGGAAACAGTTTATTTTTAACTTTTCCAAACGTGTAGAGCTGAAGACACTGGTTATTTAACATAATTATTAGTTACCGTACAGCACTCAGGCTTTCCCTTGACTTCTCTGTAAAACAGCAAGTGGGTTGCTTTCAGCATTGCAGGATTGTCAGAAGTCAGAGCATGGGCATTAAAATCCTGTGCATTCCTTTGGTACAAAGTTTAGGATATTTCAAATAGGTCAAAAGTACTTGACATCCTGGGTATTTGGAGAAGCAATTAAACGTGTCTGCAGCTGTTCCAACCTGCAGCTGAATTGTCAGCTGGGCTGAGGCTTTTAAGTACTTGTTTAAGGCACCAAAATGTTGTTTTTTTTTTTTTTTAAAAAATCCCCTCCTGTTAGTAAAATAAAATAAATTAATCTTTCTTATTTGCTGAATTTCTCAACGAGGAATAAACTGTGTCTTTGTTCTAGAAAGGAATTGCTGGAAGTTCATCAAGTTTTGATGCCCCCCCCCCCCTTTTTTTTTCCTGTCAAAACTGTAGTTCCTTTATCATACAAAGCTTGCAGTTTCCTGTATCTTTTGTTTCATTCCTAATCTAGTTTTAGCTTTCTGAATATCATGTTTCCAGGTGGGAATGTGCTGCTTTTAATGGTCTGGGAATGCTGAATGGGTAAAATTATCTTGAGTCCAAAGTACAAGGTCAGAAGAGCTTGGATTGAATATTTTCCAACCTATTTCTTGGGATCAGTTGAAAATACAGTTAATATTAAAAAAACCCCTGGAGTTTGAAAGCCAAGGAGAGAGAGGGCTCATGCAGCACCAGTGAGATATTTTAGCAAATTATTAATGAGACTTTACAATGTGCTTCTGTGGGGTTTTTTCCTCACTTCTTTACTTAGTGTGTAACAATAGATGCTCTGTTACAGCTTCAAATTTTTGTCAGAGATACCTGGCAGAGCTTCTGTTCCGCAGGTGACACTTCCATTGAACTGAAAACCCGCAGTGGTTGATATTGTAATTACTTTAGATTTAAAATAGTCACAGAATATGTGTAGGTTTTCCTGAAAACCTAAGCTGGAGAGAATTTTGATCAGTTTAACTGGTGAGGGCGGATGCAACAGCTTGAGGGGAAAAAAGGCAACAAACAAAACTACATTTTCTTCTCTCTGTAATAGGCACTTGTATTACATGTCCATAAATATTGCAAGTATTTAAAAAACAAAAAAAAAAAAGACTTTATGAAGGGTAGTCCAAGATTGGGTAAAATCTGCTCCATGGAAGCTAAAGCTGGAGAAGAAATTATTTTGGCAACAATTTCTCCAAGTTGGATTCTGTCCCAGCAGATGCTCCAGTATAACCTGGGCTGCTCCTTGAGAAATCCCTGCAGCTAAAGATGCAACACATAAGTTTATAAGCAAAATCTGATGGTTTTGTTTTGCTCTGGATTCAGGTAACCTGCTAAGTGCTGCTCGCTGTGTATGGTGCCTGTAAATGGATTTTAAGAGCTTTTTTTAGTTATTAAAAACTGCTGTTACTTTTAAGTTATAATAATGACAAAGCACAGATAATACAGTGATTCAGATAAAGTTTCCTCTTCCAGATGAGTGGGATTCCTCTTTATTCCTTTGTATCTGGGTTTTATAATGTAGAGAAATTTGGGGAAGGGCGGGGAAGAATGAAGAAAAACAGTAATCATACCAAATAACTAAAACTCTGTTAAAGTCGATGTCTTTTTGAAGTTAAGCCACCTCTATTTTTCTTCCAAAGAAAGAAGGTAAATGTTTCATAGTTAGTCATGCACGTTCTGAACTCCATTAGGACAAAATCTTTTCCAGAAATTATATGATAAAAATGGCTTTGGTCCTGTAAAACGTGTTGGCAGAAACACCATTGTTTTACATGGGTGCTTTCACACAGGGTGAAGCTTTTGAGATCTGCAGTGAATATCCACAAACTAGCAATGGCTTTGGAGAAATAAGTGGGGAATGGAAATAGGCATCAAAGGAGCTGCAGAGAAAAAGGTGTCCTAGTTTGTTTTTAGCTATTAGGGATGTATTCTTTTGGGGAGCAAACTTTGGATGAGTGATTTCCCTGGCAGGAATTAGAACTGTAGCCTGTCCCAAAATATCCCCAGGGAGTGTATGAAAAATTCATGAGGAGAAATGGAGAAACAAAACTTCTCCCTGCAAAGGAACACCCTTTAACACATTTTTGCAACAGGAATTTGTTGGAGAAGAGCTGTTCCTAGGAAAGAGAAGAGAGAGCTTGCAAAAATAGACTAATTCTTTGGATTTGATGTCTTACTGAAGTATTTGCTGCACAAAGTACCGTAGAGAATGTTGCTGTCTCTATGGGAACATCTTAGGGCTATATTTAGGAAAATTAAATTAAGCTTATTCTCCTCAGATGAGCAAGGTTTTTCTAAGACTTTAATTGGAGATGTGGTGGGTTTTGGGGTGGGATAGGGGGAGAGATTAGAGGAATTTCTTCTGCCTTTAGGTTTGGTGCACCATTGACTTAAACTTTTCAACTCAAAAAAAAAGAGAACTAAAACTGTCACCTACGTTCGAGTCAACCTGTGTGTGGCAGGAGGCTGGAAAAAGCTCTGCTTAATTTCACAGCTTCAGGTTGTGAATTTGGCCATTGGGAGGAAAGAAAACCCCGTTAAAACCCTTGTAAACGTGTGTTTATTGAACTGAACAAACTTGATAAGGAAATGAGCTCATTATAGGTCTGATGTCCAGCAATATCCCTCAGGTTTGCATCTCTGTTTGTCTTGAAAAGTTAATGGATTGGGTAAAAGCTGTGCGGCAGGTGAGGACCTCGGTGTTTTACACACTGTGTGGTGCCTGTGGAGCACAGAAAAAGGGGATTTTACAGCTTTTTCAGTAACTTACACTGATTTCATGGCGTAACTTCTTGAGGAAAACGCGACCTTGGGCTGCAGAGCCCCCTGTGTGCGTCCGTCCGTCTGTCCATTCATACCACGAGTAACAAGAAAGCACATTCTCCCAAAGGGCTTTTCTTTAGCTTTATCACTCTCTGTTGTTCAATCAGCATTGGTTCAAAGGCGCTTTTTTTGGATATTATTATTAAACCAACTTTGAATTGAATTAGTGAGCGAGGAGGCAGACATCCGAGTGCTCTGGTTGTGCGATGGCTCCAGGTGCCGCCTGCTGCCTTTCCTGCACTGGAACTCCTCGGGGTTGAGCAAGTTGTTCTTTTCTGCCTTTCCCACCATGTCCCACGTAAGCACAGCCCGAGCGGATGCTGTACATATTTCTGCTCTATAAACACATGCTTGTTTACATTTGCTTCCTCGCCATCCCGACTGGGATCCTCTCCCGCTGCCAGAGGGGATCAGCCGTGACTGACAAACGCGGAGATCCGGCCATTTTGACCCCGTGTGCTGCTCCTGTTTCCATTTGTTTGTTTCTCCTTCGCCTTCCCACCTGAGTATTTAACAAATTATTATTAAATATCTTCCAGAATTTTTTTTTTTTTTTTT